AAAAAAAAGAGAGAGAGAGGACTCAAATACAATCAGAAACAAAGGAGAAGAAATAACAACCAACACCATAGAAATACAAAGGATTATAAGAGAACATTATAAAAATTATGTGCCAAAAAATTGGGCAACCTAGAAGAAATGGATAAATTCCTAGAAACATATAACCTTCCAAAAATGAATCAGGAGGAAATAGAAAGTTGGAACAAATTATTAGTAATGAAATTGAATTAGTAATCAAAAAACTCCCAAAAAACAAAAGTCCAGGACCAGATGACTTCACAGGTGAATTCTACCAAATATTTAAATAAGAGTTAATACCAATTCTCTCAAACTGTTCCAAAAAATAGAAGAGGAAGGAAAGCTTCCAAATTCATTCTAGAAGGCCAGCATCACCCTGCTACCCAAACCACATATACTACAAAAAAAGAAAACTACAGGCCAATATCTCTAATGAGCATAGATGCAAAAATCCTCAACAAAATATTAGTAGACTGAATCCAATAATACATTAAAAAAAAATCATTTGCCATGATCAAGTGGGATTTATTCCAGGGATATAATGCTGGTTCAATAGTCACAAATCAATAAATGTGATATATCACATTAAAAAGAGAAGGGATAAAAACCATATGATCAACTCAAAAGATGCAGAAAAAGCATTTGACACAGTACAACATACATTCACGATAAAAAATTTCAACATAACAAAGGCCATATATTGAAATCCCACAGCTAACATCACCCTCAATAGTAAAAAAACTGAGATCAGAAACAAGACAAGGATGTCCAGTCTCACCACTTTTATTCAACTTAGTAATGGAAGTCCAAGCCAGAAGTCAGACAAGAAAAATAAATAAGAGGCATCAAATTGGTGAGAAAGATGTAAAATTTCACTATTTGCAGGTGACATGACACTATATATATATATAAAACCCCACAGACTCCACCAACAAAACTACTTGAACTGATAAATGAATTCAGTAGTTGCAGGATACAAATAAATCTACAGAAATCTGTTGCATTTCTATACACTGATAAGGAAGCAGCAGAAAGTGAAATTAAGAAAACAATTCCCATTTACAATTGCACCAAAAATGATAAGATACCTAAGAATAAACCTAACCAAAGAGGTGAAACACCTGTACTCTGAAAACTATAAAACGCTGATGAAAGAAATTGAAGATGACACCAAAAAATGGAAAGACATTCCATGTTCATGGATTGGAAGAACAAATATTGTTAAAATGTCTATACTACCGGAAGCAATATACACATTTAATGCAATCCCTATAAAAATATTAAGAGCATTTTTGACGCACCAGGGTGGCTCAGTTGGTTAAGTGGCTGACTCTTGATTTCAGCTCAGGTCATGATCTCAGGGTCCTGGGATCGAGCCCTGCATCAGGCTCCACACTTAGCAGGGAGTCTGCTTGAGGATTCTCTCTCTCTCACCCTCTGCCCCTCCCCCCTAGTGTGTTCTCCTTAAATTGTTTACTTTAAAATGGTTAATTTTATGTTACACGAATTTCATCTCAATAAGAAGTATTAGTTTTACAAAAGGCAATTGCAAATGGTTATTACATTTTTAATTTCAGTGTCCATGTATCTTAGTGTATAGAAATACAATTGATTTTTGTGTTTATCTTGTACCCTGTGACCTTGCTGAACTCACTTATTGGTTCTAGGTGATAGTTTTTTTTATAGATTCCCAGGAATTTTCTGCATGGACAATTCATGTCATCTGTAAATAGGAACTGTTTCATTTGTTCCTTTCCAATCTGTTTGCCTTCATTTTTTTTTTTTTTTCTTATTGCACTGGCTAGAACTTCTAGCACCATCTTGAATAATAGTGGTGAGAGCAGATATCCTTGCCTCGTTCCCGGTTTTAGGGGGAAAGCATTCATTCAGTCTTTTACAATTAAGTATAATGTTGGCTGGAGGTATTTTACAGATGTTCTTTATTATATTGTTGAAGTTCCCCTATTCCTATTTTTCTGAGAATTTTTTTAAAGATTTGTTTGAGAGAGAGAGAGCACGCACATGTGCAAGTGGGGGGAGGGGCAGAGGGAGAGAATCTCCAAGCAGACTCCTCGCTGAGCACGGAGCCCAACTGGGGGGCTCCCTCTCATAACCCATGAGATTATGACCTGAGCCAAAAACAAGAGTTGTACGCTTAATAGACTGAGCCAGGCAGGCGCCGTGAGAACTTTTTTTTTTTAATCATGAATGGATGATGCCAAATGCTTTTTCTGCAACTGATATGATCATGTGACTTTACTATTTTGCTTGTTAATACAGTGGATTACTTTGATTTTCAAGTATCAAGCCAGCCTTGCATCTCTGGAATAAACCCTCTTTGGTCATGATGTGTAATTCTTTTTATGTAGTATCAAATTCTATTTACGACTATTTAGTTAATAATGTTTACATCTCTATTCATGAGGGATATTGTCTGTAGGTTTATTTTTGTTTGCTTGTTTTTTTCTACTGTCTTTGGTTTTGGTACCAGGGTAATACTAGCTTCATAAAATGGATTGGTAAGGGTTACCAAAATGCCCCTCCATCTCTGATACTTTGCTTTGAAATCTACTTTATTTGGTATTAATATAGCCACTCATTCTTTCCCTTAATTAATGGTTGCAGCATATATATTTCTCTATCCCTTTATTTTCAAACTGCTTATATTGTTATAGTTGAAGTGAGTTTCTTATAGACAGAATAAGGTTGGATCATATTTTTTTTTAATTTTTTAAAGATTTATTTATTTTGAGAGAGAGCATGTTCAGGCAGGGAGGGACAGAGGGAGAGTCTTAAGCAGACTCCATGCTGAGCGTGGGGCTTGACACAAGGCTCAATCTCAGGACGCTGAGACATGACCTGAGCTGAAATCAAGAGTCGGACACGTAAGTGACTGAGCCACCCAAGCCCCTCTATAGTTTTTTTTAAGTGTATCTGTTTGTATACCTTTTTAAGCTATTTCTTCAGCTATTTCAATATATACATATAATTTTTCAGTCTACTGGTGTCATCATTTATACCAGTCCTTTAATAATTATTTTAAATATTACTTCTACATATATTTAGAAGCACAATGTTATAATTTTTGCCTCAACCATTATTTCAGAAACTCAAGAGAAGGAAAGTCTATCATATTTACCCATATTTTGGCTTACCATGTTACTTTTTCCTTTCTGATGTTCCAGTTCCTTTTTTTATTTCTTCTTTTCTGTCTAGAAAACTTTCTTCAGCCATTCCTTTTCTAAGCCATTCCTGCTAGCAACAAATTTTTCTAGTTTTCCTTCTGAGATGTAGGAGGCAAGAGAAAACCCAGGGAATTCAGTACCATGTTGTGTCTTGTCTCTGTCTAGTCTGCTTTCTCTCTCCCTCTCAGAGTCTTGTTTTATATATAATGTTCAGGGATTTTAGTTGTACTTAACAGAAGGAATAAGGAAGAGTATGTCTACTCCATCTTTCCAGAAGTCAGTCTCCATATATGCTTATTTTATACTGTTATTTATCATTTCAATATCTCAAAACCTTGGGGATCTAGGTGTTTTTCCTGTTCTCACTTACGATGCATCATTTTCCTATTATCTTTTAAATTTTCAGGTGGACATTCTGAGGACCTAAATAGAATTGCTTTCTTCAGAGAGGTTTTGCATCTCTGCTGAAAGCTACGAGGCTTACTAGAGACCATTTTAGTTCTCTTCAGGGATTCCAGTTTCACATAGAATTTTCAGGTTGTTTTCCTGTCTTGCAGCGGGATTGCTCAAGGGTTAACAGTCAAATTCCAGGGCTATTACTGGCATTTGTACCCAAAGATGTCAGCGTCACTTGTTTACCAGTGCTGGAAAATTGTGTCTTTTTCTTTTTGTGGTACAGGGATTGGTATATCTTGATTTCCCTTATTTTCTTGCAAGCCCAGAAATGCTCTTCATAAAACTGTTTGTTATAGTTTATCCAGTTGGTTGTATTGTGGTTAGAGGGCCAAAATCACCAGTAGAAATGCAACTTCCTTACATATGATATTTGGTATTACTACCTTGAAAACGACTGGAGAAACAGTATTCCTCATGATTACCAGATTTTTGTTAAAAGGCAAGATATGAAGGTTTTATTGTTAGTGTTTTAAATTCCTTAATGAAATTTGTCATTTTAGGTGGGTGAGATAGATTACGAAAATAATATTCTATTTTTACATCAAAGCTCAGCCTTGCTCATTATATTACCATAACTGAGTTCTAGGTACTGACAAACTTGGTCTTCTTGGCAGGAGTTACGAACTGGAGGAAACTAGAATATTAGAGGTGTAACAGCTATAAAACATGATCTAACCTGAAGTCTATGGTTCAGTTCCACTTCATCAGCTGTAGCTGAAAAGTTCTTTGGTTATTTTTCCCAAGAGAAACAAATCTTTATGTTCCTGCAGCTAGCTCATTTCATTCCAATAACCTGTTTCAAAAGTCTAGCTCACTGCATTCTAGAGACCTGGTTTTTTGATAACCAGTGCTGTTTTATTCACGACTCTTCTTTCTTCCATTTGTTCAGTAAATAAATTTAGGAAGCCAAGAGTCAAACTGGAGCTTTCAAAAAACGTTTTCCGCTCATAATCTTAACTCTTCTACTTTAAAATCCTGTTCCAAGGATGGCTCTGTATAAACTTAATTCTTCAATAAGAACATTAGTGATTTCTAATACTTATTACATGCCAGGCTTGGTTCTAAGCTTATTACATATATTTACTCCTCAAAATAATCCTATGACATAGGTGTTTCAACTGCCCTCACTCTATAGATGAGCAAACTGAGGCAAAGAGTCAGATAACCCAAAGTCTCCCAGCTAGAATGTGGTAGAACTGACAATTGATCCTAGGCTGTCTGGTTCCAGAGTCTGTGCAATAATCCTCTAGGATGGACTGTGTATAGCCAACATCAGACCCAGTATGGGTGAGGATATGAGTCTCTAAGAAAGTGAAATATAGTACTTCAGTAGGGAAGACAGGTTAAACCACAAATACATTTATTTCTCTAAGAACAGTATGCCATTTTTAAATTAAAAAAAAAATTATCAACTGTCTCTGCAGTTTGCTTGCTCTTATTAAGCTGATTAAAAAAAATCCCAGAGCAGAGCGATTCACCAGCACGATCGTTAAGTTGCAAATATCTCCTCTGTCACAGAGCAAGAATACACTCAACTCCAGAAAATAACTTTAAGTGTTCATGGAAGGAGTACCCACATCCATTGGCATGCATTCCAGTGCATCATGGCCTCCTTTTCAATGATCTAATTTTTTTTTTAAGATTTTATTTATTTATTTGACAGAGAGAAAGAGAGCACAAGCAGGTGGAGCGGCAGGCAGAGGGAGAAGCAGGATGCCCACTGAGCAGAGAGCCTGATGTGGGACTCCATCCCAGAACCCTGGGATCATGACCTGAGCCAAAGGCAGACGCTTAACCATCTGAGCCACCCAGGCGCCCCTCAATTATCTAATTTCTAACCAAGTTTCTTTTTTGAGTCTGAAAACAAGGAATTACCTAAGTAAGATATCCCTTTAGAGCACTGTTGAAAATATATTAAACATAGAGATACCTCAGATCTCTTTTCTAAATGTTAAAAATATATTAGCACATACAGAAAATATCTGTATTTTCTATTATAATTTAGATTTCTATCTAAAATATCTATTATGTTCTATTGAACTTTTGTTTCTCCCTTTTTGATAATGTCTTCAATTTCTTCTGAGACTTCTCCTTGGTAGTCATTTGGTTCTATTGCATTTAACTTCTTTTGATACTCCAGTGGCAAACCATTTTCTTTTGCACCTAGGCAAATGACCTAGAAATGGTTAAAAGAAACCAAAAGCACCTTTTAATTAGGAACACAATTTAATATACCACAGCTTTATGTGCAGTATCAAAGTATGAAATATTAGCTTTCAGATAACTCTAGAATAAACAGTTATAGAACAAAATAGAGTCATTCCTCTTACAGTGAGCATAAATGTGCAGGGAGTTTTCAAGGCCACATGATACGTTCTCATGGAGTATCAATTTTACTCAATAATATGGCTTAAAATATTTTTAAAAACTAAAGTATAATTAATATACAGTGTTATATTAGTTTCAGGTATACAATATAATGATTTAATAATTCTCTACATTACTCAGTGCTCATCATGGTAAGTAAGTGTGCTCTTAACCCCCTTCACCTGTTTCACCCATCCCCCCACCCACCTCCCCTCTGGCAGCCACCAGTTTGTTCTCTGTAGATAAGAGTCTCGGTATTTTTTTGTCTGTTCATTTGTTTGTTCATAGATTCCATGTATGAATGAAATCATATGGTATTTGTCTGTTTAACTTATTTCACTTACCATAATACCTTCTAGGTCCATCCGTGTTGCTGTAAATAGCAAGATCTCATTCTTTTTTATGGCTGAGTAATATTCCATTGTATGTATGTATGTGTGTATACACACATACACACACACACACACACACACACACGTCTTATTTAGCCATAACTATGGATGGACACTTGGGTTGCTTCCATATCTTGACTATTGTAAATAATGCTACAGTAAAATAGGGGTGCATATATCTTTTCAAATGAATGTTTTCGTTTTGAGTAAATACCCAAAGTGGAATTACTGGGTCATATGGTAATTCTATCTTTAATTTTTTGAGGATCCTCCGTACTGTTTTCCACAGTGGCTGTACCAGCTTGCATTCCCACCAGCATCGCATCAGGGTTCCTTTTTCTCCACATCCTCGCTAATTAACATTTGTTATTTCTTGTGTTTTTGATTCTAGTCATTCTAATTTAAAATATTTTTATATTAAGATAAAAACTTATTGTATAGAACTGGCATGATCTATTAAGAAAAAGCACCATTCTTTAAAAAAAAATGTAAAGTTTATAGGGAGCAGTTTTAGTTTAATCTGGGAGTCTACTCTACCTCTGATATGAAATGAGCTAATAGATGGCAACCATGTTCAGTGGGTACTTCCCAGATCCACACCAGGCTAATTCCTCTAGGTTCCATACTAGAAAATTCCAGATTAGGCCCAGGAACTGGGTGATCCACTCCACGTGCCATGTCCTGACTGGGCCTTCCAATAGTACCTAAGTTTGGGTTTCTAAAAAGGGATGTTGGGGTTTCTATCCCACATTCTTTTCCTATGCTTGTGGGAGTAGTTTCTCTGATTTTGAAAAAGTGTCACTTGGGGCGCCTGGGTGGCTCAGTCGTTAAGCATCTGTCTTTGGCTCAGGTCGTGATCCCAGGGTCTGGGATTGAGCCCCACATCGGGTTCCCTGTTCAGCGGGAAGCCTGCTTCTCCCTCTCCCACTCCCTCTGCTTGTGTTCCCTCTCTCACTGTCTCGCTCTCTGTCAAATAAATAAATAAAATCTTAAAAAAAAAGAGTGTGACTTTTTTCCCTCCATCTAGGGATGGTAAACATTTCAGCAATAGGAAATGTGTTTTTTCCCCATAAAAATGAATCTTGGTGTTGTGAAATAGTTTTGTGGAGAAAAAATGATTACAAAAGCCTATGCATAGAATAAATCCACTAAAAATACATGCATACGTGTTATTTTCTACTTTAGGAAAGAAAACACGTATCTAGAATTATGGCTTATATAGATTTCCAAAGTCTTTTTTAATAAATCTGTTTTAGGAACATGGTTCTATCATTACAAATAAATCTGAATATTTTTCAATTTGCATGTTAGGTAAATAACTATCATTTTTGCATTAAAAACATTTTTATTAAAATGAAGTGTTCATAGGGGTAGGGCAGGCAAAAAAAAAGTGTTCGTGTAGAATTTAATGCACATAGTCTTTTTAAAGCAAGATATTTTTTAGTTTAGCTCAGTGAAAATTAAAAAGGAATCTCCAACAGTCTTTGTAAGTAGCTTACCTTTTTATACTGGGGGGATGGGGGAGCACTCTCATAATTTTTCATCTGATAACTTCGACAGGTTATTTCTTTTCCTTCTTGAGTATAAACATTAACTTCTATTGGGACATATGTTCCACTTTTAACCCCTTCTTGCCTGAAACCAGAACAGCCAAATTTTAACCATATATGACTTAGCCAAGTTAGTTCATTGGATTAAAAATTTAACTATATCTGGATGTACTTACTCCCTTTGTATTTTGGGATATGGTAGAACGTATTATAAATACTACCACATCAAAAGTAAACCTAGCATTTCAATTGGAAAGCCTCAGATTTAGTATTACTCAGTACACTTCTAACAGATCTCTATATTTATCCTATATAAACCCATGCTTGAATATAGTTATTTCAATCTTTATACCCCTTCAACACTGCTCTCTAGGCTACAAAAAATGACCATGTGTTCTGACAACAAGAGAATATCCACCCGGAGAAAAGTAGAGAGAATGGCTCACTCTTATTCCCCAGTGACCTAAAGTATCACGCATATCAGATACTGTGCTCTTTTCAAGTCCTACTCTTTTCTGCCAACTTTCTTTGTATACATGCTCTGCCACACAACTGGAGAGTTCTAGTTATAAACAGTATCAAAACATTTCTAGTACGTTGTCAAAGTTTTTGCAAAATATTACTTTTTTACTGATTCAACGGCCACCTTAAAGAATTATTTTTTAAAAACTGACTCTAGTAAAAACTGAACTGCTTTTGAAACCGATAAAAAGATGCAACAATTACAAACATCTTCATGCCTTTTCACAATATGAAACTACAAAGAGATTTTTTTTTAATAAAAGATAAATAGAACAAAAATAAAGACTTCCATTTTTTTACAAAAGAGATTATAACTATCCCCCAAATCTCAACTGGAATAAGTGACCCTTCTAGGCTTTTTTTTTTTTTAATGTAGGCTCTATGCCCAGTGTGGGGCTTGAACTCACAACCCTGAGATCAAGAGTTGCGTGTTCTACAGACTGAGTCAGTCAGGTACCCCTAGGCTTTTCTTTTTAGGATATGCACATTATACTTTTTATGTTAATGCTACAGTGTAAAGAATGTAGTATATGGTTTTGAAAAACCAACATATATATATATATATATATATACACACACACATCTTTGCACATGATCCACTTTCTGAATTAGTTATTATTCAACTTATAATTAGAAGCCACCTACTTATCCAGAGAACTCAAATTGCTTTTGTTCATTTTCCATACTACTCCCCATACTTCATCGCCAGGACTTTGAAAAATAGTGGCTATACCTCCATGCCAAGTTTCACTTGTTTTGCCTTGGGAATTGCCAAAGTCAAGCTTATAATCCTACAAAGGAAACCAAAATGATATGATCAATATCCACTTGAACCAAAATTTCCCTCTTCAGTGTAAAAAAAAAATTTACCTTGAACTCCATGCAATTAAAACATAAACTTTGAGTTCTTTCTCTGCATAAGAAGCTGTAAAAAATACAAAGATAAACAAAGACCCGGATCTCAAGGACTATATTTTTTCATATTTTTCTTTAAAAATGAAATGTATACTGAATATATATATGTATATATATTTTACCATAAATGGGTTTAAAAAAAAAAACCATAATCCCAATGCCTTAATGTAACTATTTTCATTTTTAAAAATTTCTTCCCAGTCTACCTATATACGTATAGATTTTAACTTAGAGGCAACCATAGTATACATAATTGTTGAAGCTGGGTAGCTACATAGGGGTTACAACCTACTTTTATGTATACAGAGAGTATCCTACTAGCATATATCACCATGTTTGCCCTCAAGGAACCAGCATTGGAGGGTGATTAATCTAGCACTCATGAATTGTACTATTATACCTATAATAAACATTAAAAGCAGCTAATACTAGTACATTACTAGGTTCTATAACTGCATTATGAGCTTTATGTGGACTCATTTTTATCCTGCCAACAACTTTATTATACCCATTTAACAAGAAAAACTGTGGCTTATAAATATTAAGCAACTTGCCCAAGGTCTCACAACTAATAAGTAATGGAGCCAGGTTTCTAGTTTATTTTTATTTTTTTTAAAGATTTTATTTATTTATTTGACACACAGAGAGATAGAGAACACTAGCAGCGGGGAGCGGCTGGCAGAGGGAGAGGGAGAAGCAGGCTCCCCGCCGAGCACGGAGCCCAATGTGGGACTTGATCCCAGGACTCTGGAATCATGAGCTGAGCTGAAGGCAGACGCTTAACCGACTGAGCCACCCAAGCATCCTGCCAGGTTTCTAGTTTAGCTTCTTCCCTATAGAGATGGGTAATCAGAGGAGAGAATCTTGGGGAAGATTAAAAACCCTTACTTGGCCATTTGGTGTAGAAAATTTCTTTCCATCTTTCCAGAGCTTAGTTTCCTTAATAATAAAAAAAGGTTGGACTAGATACTAAATTTAAGGTTTATATTTTATCCCTGTCACCTTTATTTTCTTAAAAATGTCACATTTCAGGAAAAAGGTTGGTTTGAGTGACCAATATCTTCAATCGGTATACTAGATGTTTTAGGGCCAAGCAGCCCTGGCAGGATATTAGGAGAGCTGATAAAAAGTCACAACCACATTAGGTACTGGTTGTCTAGATCCAATAGACAATTTTCATTCCTCCTCTTGCTCCACTTTTCAGCTGCTTCCGACAGAGTTAACCACCCCGTCTTGATCTGCCTCCTTCCTGACTTTCAGACTGTTCCCTGATCTCAATTCCCTTTGCTAACTCCTCCTCCATACCTGGTCTTTAAATGGTAGAGTTGCTAAGGGCTCAGTTTAGGCCCCTTTTCTTGTTCATCAGCAATTTGCTCAAGACAATCTATCCCTTCTGATAACTTCAAATACCATCCAGTATTCCAATCATCTTTTAATCAAACCCAGATCTCTCTTCTAAACTTCAAAAATGCTTAGAACAGGGCCTACCACACAGCGAGTACTTAATAAATGCTAATATTTTTCTGCTCACTTGGATGTATAACAAACATCTCAAACTCAGTTATGTTTAAGCTGAGCTTGACTTTCCCTCCAAAACAGACTCTCCTCTTTACAAATATCACCATCATCTACCCTATTGCACCAAAAACCTTAGTCACCCCTGTTACCTCTTCCTCCCTTCACGATCAATCACCAAGGCCTAACATTATTATCTCCTAAATATCTCCCCAACCCATCTACCTGCCACTGCTACCACTCCAGTTCAAGGTGCCATTATCTTTAGCATGGATTGCTACAAAAGCTTTCTAACTGGGCTCCCCACATCAACTGTTGTCTCTCCTTCCAATCCATTTTCCATAGCAACCAGAATGAGCTTTCAAAGTTGTAAATCTAATCTTTCATTTGCTTAAATTCTGCAATGGATCTTTTCATTGCTCTCAAGGTAAAGAGCAGAGTCCTCTTTGGCCTCTGTGATCCTGTAACATGTGGTCCTTCCCTACCTCTCTAGTTGTCAAGCAATATCCTCTTCACACACTAAACTCCAGCCACAGCAGCTGATGATCCAGCTTCTTCTTTCCTGAGGTCATTTGTACATGCTGTTCCTTCTCTTTTGTCTCCCCCTTCCCAATCATTCAGGTCTCAGCTTAAAAGTCATATTTTCAGGAAGAGCTTTACTAAGCTCTTAGGTCAGGACCTCCAAGTCATACACTCCCATAGCACCTTGTAGGTCTCTTTTTTTTAAAGACTTCACTTTTTTTAGAGCAGTTTTAGGTTCACAGCAAAACTGAGAGGAAGGTACAACATGTCTCCTTTTTAAACTCACCATATCTGTAACTGAATAATCACTTGTTTGATAGCTCTTCCACTTGTCCCAACTATAAGCATCTGAAGGTCTTTTCCACATTTGGGCAGTTCCCTACCTTAGGAGTCTGGGTAATAGAAAGTGTTAGAGCCCAACTCCCATTTTTGAGGCTTCAAATGCCAGCAGTTGGTTCTCGCAGCTTTGCTTGCAGTCAGGGCATGGGCACGTGGCCATGGGTTAGTCAATCAGGACACCCACCTGCAACTGAAATAGAAGCTAGTGCTAGTGCCCAGGGACAGCAGAAACTACATCCTGGAGGTGGTAGCCACATCTAGGTTTCAGGAACTGCAGGGGTGTAGTGACAGTAGCAGGCAAGGTCCGGAGCAGACAGGGTCAGTGATGCACAACTTAGTGTCCATGTTTACTAAGTTCAGCAGAGGCACACCGGTGGCCTCCTGGGCTGGGTCTATCTGTGATACTGGCTGTTGTGGTTGCTGTACCTCCCTTTATGCCTGCCTGTTTTTTGTTTTGTTTTTAAAGTAGGCTCCACATCCAAAGTGGGGTTGAACTCACAACCCTGAGATCAAGAGTCCCATGCTCCACCCACGGACTCAGACAGGCACCCCTATGCCTCCCTGTTTTGTCAGTTCTGTGGTCCTACCTTCCTGGTCATTCTGTGAGCCCTCCAACAGCCTTTCAACCCATTCTTTTTCTGCTTAAATCAGCCACTTTCTGTTGCTTGCAACTAAGAACCCTGACAAGGACAGCAGAGACCATGTTTGTCTAATCCGACAATGTCAAAAGCTTTCGTACATAATTTTTTGGTGTGTCCCTCCTACAGACATGGACAGGTCCTCAGGGCAGCCCACTCACTTTTGTATCTGCAGGGAAAAAAATCCACCAAAGGAATGAACGGATTGTACTGAAGAGCAATTATTTTTGTTTTTATTTATTTAATTTCTACGCCCAACCTGGGGCTCGAACTCATACCCTGAGACCAAGAGTCACATGCTCCTCCGACTGAGCCAGCCAGGCGCCCCTGAAGAGCAATGACTTTTACCAAGGTGTGTTATGGTTCACCCAGCCACCTGACTGAACTGAGCACGCCTCTTACTATGACTACGATACGGTGCCGGCTTTCAGGACCTCTGGCATCGGGAGCGAAAGCCAGGTGAACGGAGTTTTACAATACCAGCGGACAAGCCCTGCAGCGACGGTGTGTGGTAGGGAAGAGAAAGCCACGCGTTCCCTGACTTGGGACAGAGAAGGCGTCTGGGAGGCACGGAGCGAATGGATGCTGTGAGCACTCCCCTAAATCGGTGGGCAAGAGAGAGGCGGCCAGGTCCGGGCAGAACGAGCCTCCCGGGGAAAGTCAGCAGGGGGCTCAGGGCGGCCCGGGGGCGCACAGCTGCCAGGCGGGCACAACGCTGTGGGGGCGAGGCGGGAGGAGGGCGGAAGCCAGACGGTGGAGACAGCCCCGACGTGCTCTTATCAGCAAGAGCTGCATTCCCAGCCCCGAGAAAGCGACTTCTCGAAATCCTGCCCTCTCGTCCGCAGGGTGGGCACGACGCTGCAGGGGCGGCGCGCGGGCAGCACTGACCTGCAGGCGGGCCACGCAGCAGAACGCGGCCGACGGGTTTCGGAGGTGGATCCGCTCGGTCAGCAGATTGCTACCGTAGGCGAAGTACAGAAAACTCTCCCCCTCCTGGCCCCGGAGGTCCTGACAGCCCGAGTTCGCCATGCTCCACCAGACACCCGCGCGGCCCCGGGGTCGGCGGTACGACTGTGAGAAGAGGACTGCGAGCGCCCCAACTCCGGTGGCCAACTAGCCGGGGCCTCTGCAGTTGGCGGAAAGGCGGGAAGCGTGGGCCGAACGAATCGGATGCGACCGCTCTTCTGATTGGCTGCGGGGCCCAAATATTGAGTCTCCCCCTATGATTGGCCAAGCCCGCCACCTCCTCTTCGCTCTCCAGTTAGTACTCTGAAATGCTCAGCTCTGAGGCGACCGGGAGCCGATTCCTCATTGGACATACTCCTCTGTTGTCCCGCCCCGATGCTCAAGGCTCCGTACGATTGGTGGGTGGGCGGGCGCTAAGCGGAGGCGGGTCAGGTCCGGTGGGTTCGGTTTGGGGGTTGCGCCGCGTGGTTCCTAACCAGGTTTTCTCACCTTAAGGTGGTGCATGTGTGGTTCCAGGCGTTTCGTGCTCTTTAGGGCACTCGCCCCCGCTCTGCCCTCCCGGTTTGAAGCAGTCGGTCACGATGGGTCAATTTCCCCCTCATGCTGGTTCTCGCATCCCCAGCCCTGATCACTTAACGTGGAGAAGACCCTCTGAATGTCTGGGACTCCCTTCCCTGATGGAAGTAGCGTGCCGGGTTCAAATCCCGACGCTGCCATTTACTGGCCACGTAAGCCTGGGCACCTCTCATTAGTTTCCTCCTCGTAAAACAGCGATTTTAACATAAATTATGATCACGGTTATATAACTTATCCCCTATCTCATTGGGTTGGTTTAAGTATTTAAAGAATAATTTTGTTAATGTTATTAGGCGCAAAAACTCCAGTGTAAAATAAGATATAAAAGTATAAAAACAAGAAATAAAACCTTATGTTAACTTTGAAGTGAAAATATTAATTTGAACTCAGGGCAGTGGTTATCCTTGGCACCCAGATTTTGATCTCTAAATAAATACCACTCTCCACTAAAAGGTCCCAGGGCTCCTTGGAGAAATGGTTTATGCCAGGTCAAAAGCTGAGAATGAATAGGAGCGCTTGGGACATCTTGTGACAGTGAAGTCTGGAGGTATCCAAGAAAAAAAACGAGGTCCTTTCAAAAGGACATGGGAGCCAGCTTGAGGGAATGCCCACTGGCCAAAATTAGTAATGACTGCAATTGATTGAAAATGTCAAACAAACAAGTCCCACCAAAAGAATAAACCAAATATAAAAAACAATTTTTAAAAGCCTCATTTGCCATGGTGACTGTTACAGCAACTCTTTACTCTGAAAAGTGGTTATTTAAGAAAATAAACATTTATCCTGCCCTCCTACTTACAGCTGTATTTCAGGGTAACCAAATAGTCCCAGTTGATGAGGAAACAGTTCTCTTTACAAAAGTTTTCCAGCTAAATAATGTAAGATGAATGATAGAATTGGAAAATCACCATCTTGTAGCCCCTAATGAAATAACTGATTCATGTCAGGATCATCAATGAAACCATGTGGTGAAAGGGTGACAGGGAACAGAATATTCACCTAGGGCCAAATTATCCTCCAGGGATTGCTAGCTGTAGTCAGAAGAAAAACATAATGACAATGAAGGAATCAGGTCCCTCTCATCTTAACCTAGATCAATCTTATAATCACTAAAAGTGGACCAATCTGACATTATGTGCCTCCTGATGTGATACAATATGATGCCCCAGTTTTGTCTGTGAAGGATTGTTTCCCAAACGCTCTCACTTCTATATAATCATGCTCAAGCAGGAACTACAAGGATAGAAGAATAAAATGATACCAAGAGGAAACAGAAAAATTCTGAACATCCTGCAGAACAAATGGCTGTCTCTTAAGTCAGTGTAATTACAAAACAAGCAAACAAAAAAGCAGGACAGAGGGCAGGCTGTTCTAGATTAAAAGAAACCTAAGAGACACAATAACTACATGCAATGGCTTGTCCTTGTTTCTGGTTCAATAAACCAGATATAAAGGATATTTTGGGGACAATTAAATCTGAATACGAACTAGGGCATGAGATGATATTAAACAACTGCTTTTTTATTAGATATGATAAAACCATTGTGCCGTTGTAGAAAAATGTCTCTATTTTTAGATATACATATTAATGTATTTTGGGGTAAAATTTTGGTATCTATATTTTAAAATAATTTAGAAAAATTAAAATAGGGAAAGTGTTCAGTGCTCGATTGATGTGTAATGGGTGTTCATTTTATTATTCTATCCTCTTCTATATATTTCAACATTTTCATGTTAAAAAGTCAAAGAAATATGGTGATGTGTGTTAAAGCACTTGGCATACAGTGAACACTCAATAAGCAATAACACTGTTGTCATGTAATCGTAAAATAGGATGGTTCATACCCTCTCCCATCCCCCAAACATCAAGGTAGAACTTGAAATACGTACTTGGTTACTTCAGTGAGCAAGTTGCTCTTGTTGGCAAGATAGTACTCTACTGCATCATGGATCCTCAAGGCCTCTGCTTTGGAGCATTCCCACTTAAAATGTCCTTCTGCATTTTAAATTGCTTTTAGACGTTCTAAATGTATTTATTATTTAATTACTTTGCCTTTTTTTCTCTTCCTATGTTTCTCACTAATTGCTTAATTTTATGGTTACTGATTTTTCTTAACACCATTTTACAAAAATTTTCTGAAGCACTGATGTTTCCTCAAACACTGAAAATCTTTTTTTACGCCCATTAATCATTTTATTTAGCTTCCCATGTGGATTGCTGTGTACTGACCCCTGTTGGCTAAGTTAGTAGATAGCAAGGGTTTTTGTTCCAAATTTAATCAAAGCTTGGTTAGTAGTTAACATTCACTGAGCACTTATCAAATGCCAGGCTCCAATCTAAACTCATATATATTAACTCATTTAATCCTGAAAATGGCCCTATTGAGACAGTACTAATATTATTCTCATTTTACAGTTGAAGAAACTGAGGTCAGTAGGTTAACTCACTTGCCCCAGGTTGTAGCTAGCAATGACAGGCACATAATTCAACAGCCAAGCCCTCTGATTTTAGAGTCATTACTGGGTACTGACTCCCAGATTTCTCAAACTGTAAAACCTGGTGGTCTCAGAGCTGGTGTCAGATGGAATGGGAAGAGGAGGCAGGTGACCTGAGTGACTGAGAAGAAAGCTGACCCCACCTAAGAAGAGAAGGGAGCTAGAGAAACCCAAGCCTTGAGCTTTGAGGTGCCTGGCTCCAGCTGTTACCAGACCCAGATGAATTTCTCATGTTGGTTTTCATGAGATAGTCTCGTAAGCCTTATATTCCAAACCACACTGATAATGAAATGAAAGATTCTATTAAATGCACATAGGTTAGGTGAAATGCGGCATATTTAATCCCACAACAATATTTTAGAGTGTGTCTTGAAGACTTCTAGCTCCTAAAGTATTTTGTTCTGCTTGTATTATTTTATTTTATTTTTAAAAGATTTTATTTATTTATTTGACAGAGAGAGAGACAGCAAGAGAGGGAACACAAGCAGGGGGAGTGGGAGAGGGAGAAGCAGGCTTCCCGCTGAGCAGGGAGCCCAACTCTGGGCACAATCCCAGGACCCTGGGATCATGACCTGAGCAGAATGCAGACACTTAACGACTGAGCCACCCAGGCGCCCCTGCCTGTATTATTTTAAATAAATATATATTAGTGACCTAAAGTATAGAGAAATCATTAATTATATGTGGTCCCAGGTTACACAGGCAGTATGAAATAAATATGAACCTCCAACAACTGCAAGGATGAGGAAAAAGCAGTTATGGAGAAGGAATTGTGTTTGCTGCCTCAAGCCCAAAATGAGTTAACCTTTGACTCATCTTTCTTTCAAACCCTGTGTCCAATCAGGAATATCTGCTGCCATCAGCCGTCCTCTGCATTCTCACACTCACTACCCTCTCCCTGGTGGCATCAGCCCACACCTGGATTATTCAACAGCTTCCTAGCTGTTTTCCCTGACTCTGCTTTTCTCTGGAGGTGGGGTAAGGGTGGGGGAATCACATGAGGACAGCACGGAAGAGGTTTGGGGAATAGTAAGTAGTTCAATTTCAGTGGAGTAATAGGTTCATATTAGGGAATGGGAGACAAGTCTGGAAGGAGGATAGCATAATTTATGGGAGGGTCTTGAATTTTGCACTGAAAAGCTCAGACTATTTGGTGGTCAAAGGGGAGACATTTTTGACCTTTGAACAGAAAGGGGCCCTTTGCACCTTTAGAAACATTCTTGTGGCTGTGTGTAGGATGGCCTGGGAAGAAGTAGGATGGGGAGATAGTTGAGTGCTGGACACTAGTTCATTGCAATAGGCAAGGTCCTAAAAGTCAGAGCTAAGGCAGTAGTTACAGAATGGAATTGAAGGGATGGAAAGTGGGGGGAGGGGCAGAGGGGGAGAGAGAGAGAGAAAATCTTTTTTTTTTTAGGATTTTATTGACAGAGAGAGAGAGAGATCACAAGTAGGCAGACAGGAAAGCAGAGGGAGAAGGAGAAGCAGGCTCCCTGATGTGGGGCTCCATTCCAGGACTCTGGAATCGACCTGAGCCAAAGGCAGACGCTTAACTGACTGAGCCACCCAGGCACCCGAAACATATTTTTTCCTTTTTAAAAAAGATTTTATTTATTTATTTGAGACAGCAAGTGAGCACATGTGTGAGTGAGGGGAAGGGGCAGAGGGAGAGGGAGAAGCAGACTCCCCGCTGAGCAGGGAGCCTGAAATGGCCCAATCCCAGGACCCTGAGATCCCAGGATCGTGACTCGAGGTGAAGGCAGACACTTAACTGACTGAGCCACGCAGGTGCTCCCAAAGACATATTCTTTTAATTTGCTTTTATTGTATCACTCCTTTGTGCAGAAACCTTGTGAGGCTGGCTGTCTATTACTTTATCAAGTTCAAGCTCTTGTGAAAGCTTTTTCTTATCTGATTCCATTATATTTGGCCAGTCTGATTTCCCGCTGATGGTAAGCCCTCTGGAGGCAGGGACTACCCCTCATCTTTCTGTACACCTACAGCGCTTACCACGGCACAGATGAATAATAAATATTTGCTGATTAATCAAATCAGAGTCAAAATCTCCCCTGCCCTTCGCAGAGATGCCCAAACCTTTTTTTCTTTATGAT